TCACAGGTGATTAAATAAATATCACCTGTGAATAATAAAAAATTACAGAATACTATTTTATTTCTCGTTGGTGATAAAATTAAGAAAAAAAATTAGTTTAAATAAGTAGCAGTAGGAGAAAGTTTCTTAGTTAATTCGAACTTTTTCTCTTTCTTCCGTTCTTTTTTATTTTCTTATTTTATTTTTTATTTTATTTAGGTATTTTTTTCTATTTTATTTTTTATTATTTTTAACTCTATTTTGGATTTTTTTTTATTAATCTCTTTTTGGACCAGTTTATGGAATAAATAAATAAATCGAATTCACTTCTCAACAAAATAAATGAATAAATATTAGAAAAAATTTAAAAAAGTAATAAATATCTATGAATAAAGTTAAACAAATAAAAAAATTGATTAAAAAAAATATGTTTGAATCGAATTTGAACTAACTTCAAGATCGAATTTACTTCTCAACAAAATAAATGAATAAATAAATAGTAGAAGAAAATTAGAAAAAATAATAAATTGAATAAATAAATTAAAAAGTTGAGAAAGTAAAACATATTTTTATTATAATATTACATTTATTATTAACATTACATTTTATTATTAACAATAATAACAATAATAATAATAATAATAATAATAATAATAAATATTAAATATTAAAAATTTAATTACAATATAAAAATTATAATGTACGCTTTAAATAAAATAAAACATAAATTATGATAATATATATAAAAGTTTACAAAAAAGGGAAACAAAAAAATTACATAATAATCGCATAAAAAATAAATAACAATACACTTTAGAATATTTACAACGTTTATCCAGTAAAGGAACATTAGAATACGATTACATAAAACAAAAATGTTTTTGACTTCCATTTCAAGTACCTATAGTATATATAAAAAGGGGAAAATGTTCTGTGAATAAATTCAGTTTTGAATAAAGGAATAAAGAATTATTTAATATAATAGGTACTATTGTATAAAACTATATACTCTTTTATGAATCTTTGATCTATTATTATTCGAAATTTCATGCTTTTAGAAATTCCTCTTTTATATATTCTTTATATAGATATATATAATACTACTACTACTACTATATGCATATCGCGTGAAAGCGCGAAGTCATTGATCAATTCCCGACATTTTAAGGAGCCATAAAATTTTTACATAACTTAGAAAAAAAGGGGTTTTAAAAAAATCACTGTGTGTGTGTGTGTGAGTGAAAAAGACCAAAAGATAAATTAGTGTAACCTTTTGAATTTGTCATTGAGAGAAAAAAAGATAATCATTTTTAAGAGTGTTTTGCACGCCTTTATATAATTTAAAACATTTCGAACAGAATTAGTCAAAGTCAAAGAGAGGATCTTTCAAACAACTATTTTAAAAATAAATTTACTAATTTGAGAGACATTCAAATATTTTTGAATAAAGAAGAAAATAGAAAAAATTATTTTGAATAGACGTCTCCATAATTAGTTTTATTGTATTTTTTTCTTTTTATATATTTTTCTCCTTATTTTTATCTCTATTTCTTTTTTTTATTAAAAGTATTTCATTTTATTTAATTTCTTTGTTTAAATTTAAAATATATTATTTTCATTTCATTTTTTTAATTTCAAATGAAAATTATCTTACCTAATGATAATTATTTCGTTCAAAAAGCCACTAATGAAATTATTTTTTAAAACGAGTTTTTAAATATCAATTTATTTAGTGAAAAATGAATTCTAAGACTAAAAAAATTAAAAACGATACAAACATTCAAAAAGAAAAGTAAATTAAAAATTAAAATCCGTTTACATTAATTTTCAAACTCTCTAAATTTGATTATAAATAGTTTTAGAATTACAAATATTGAAGAATATTTTTAGATTCAATATGGAAGTGCTACTCTCCACCTGCGAACGCCAAGGTCACCGCAAGATGGCAGTTCAGTTCCTTCTTGGAATTTTTACTGTCATCTGGTGGTGACCTTGGCGTTCTCAAGTGGAGAAATTAATCCACCATTTTATTGATCAGAAACTTTTTTATAATTAAAAATTAAATTAATAGTAGTTAATTTTTTTAGTAGTTTTTAGTATTAAAAAATTAATAGTATTCAATAAAAATACTAATTTATTATTAATCGTATTAAATAAAAATATAAATCAATTAATTATACAGTATTAAATAAATAATAAAAGAACTAATAAAAACAGTTTTAAAAAAAATTAGGTAATTCATTATATAAATTCGCGGTGATAAAATTTATTTCAACTCTCGTCAAAATGAATGAAATTATAATAATGAATATCGATGAAAGTCCTTTTAAAAACATAAATAAATGTCGTTATTCAAATAGTGAAATATTATTAGAATAAACATTTTCGTTTGTATATATTAAATTTTTCGTGCGTGATTTTATTTTTCTCAAAGAAAATATGATTCATAAATTCAATATAAGTAAAAATTGATAGATATGAGAGGGAAAAAGAAGTTATATACATATGCGTGTGTGCTTTGACAATAAACAAGACAGTTTGAATGTATAACTGCAAATTAGCAGTCTCTTTTTTTCTTCTTCTTCTAAAACTAATGAATAATTAATTATTTTCTGTGAAGTGCTGTCTGAAAAGAGACATGGAACAAATTCTATGGCATTAAACGCATTTTTCTTGTTCACTTTTTATCTTTTATGTTTAGTTGAATCAAATATTTAAATCATTAATTTCATCTTTTTTTATTTAAAAATTATTTATATTTTTAATTCTTTCTATTATTATTATTTTATTTCCTTAAAATTTATTTATCTTTTTATTCTTCTATTTTTTTATTTAACATTATTATTTATTTATCATACCTAGTTCGTGCCATTCGGCTATGAACGAGCTCCCGCGGCATTTTTCTTTTATTTCTTTACTATTTATTTAATTGTTTCTTTATTTGTCAATTATTTTCTATTAGAATCGAATTTTTTTCGAAAATAGAAATAACAATCACAATAAAAAATATAAATAATTAATTATTTCTATTTTATTATTATTTCTATTTTGCTGAAAAATTAAATTCTACTTAATAAAAAATAAATTATAAGTAAATAAATATAATTAATTAAACATTTAATAAATAAAATATAAAAGTATCAAAAAAAAAAGAATTTCAGAAATAATTTTTTTTTAGACAATTTTTAAAAACACAGTTAACTTGAAAGAGTCAAATTCAAATAAGTCAAATTTGATACCAAAAGTGTCACATTGATAAAAAATTTGATACTTTTGGTATAATTTGATACCTTTAAATTAATGGTCTTTGAAAAAAATTGCCTTTCATGTTCAAGAAAATTTTCTTTAGAAAAAATTATTCTTTCAAAAAAGTTTGTTTGCAAAAATAAAGAATAATTGTAAAAATATTATTAATTAAAAGAAATTTTCAATCGACGAAAACTAGAATTATAAATATTTTTCTTTTTGAACGATATGCTAAATTTTCGAAAAAAATTATTTTAGCTTAAAGGAATAATTTTTAAATCAAAATTTTTTAATTATTTATTTATCTAATTTATGTACCTAATTGTGAAGTATTAATTTCCATATTATAGATATTCTTGCTTTATACTTTATAATTTTTTTTTTTTGTTAGAAATAGAAAATTTATTTAGAAAAAAAATCTTTCGCTTGATTCGAAAATAATCGAGTAAAAATGAAATAAAAAAATTCCCTTTTTCACCTAAATTTACGCGGAGAATTAGGGGAGAATTAAAATATGTACTCTAGGAATTAAAAGTATAACTATTTAATTCACTAATATAAAACTGGTTTACCCTCACCGATACTGACCTTGCGTTGATCAGAAACATGTCAATGTCACCGTTAATGAGAAACGACAAAGCACAAGTGAATCTTGTACAGTATTCTTTGAGAAAAATAGGGTCATTTTCCAGTGAAGATTTTCTAGAATTATTATTTTTTTTCTTTCTTTTTTTAAATAACAAATAAATCACTAATCATAAATAGAAATTCCTCCCGCTTTAGAGAGAAACGGTTGAATATATATTATAAATTATAAGACGTCTATTGTTAATTAATTCACGACACACGACACATATAATGCCGATAATTCCTGATAATTATTGACTGTCTGATTGGAAAATCAGACGATTTTTTCCACTTAAAATAATTATCATTATTTGTATAGAAATACTAATAATTTAATTATTGTAATTAAATCTTTTTTACACTTTTTTTCATAACATACAACTATTTTGTTAATATTTTCAAAAATGAAATATTATACATAAATTTTCAAACTCTTTAAATTTGATTAAAAAATAATTGTAAAATTACGAATATTGGAGAATATTTTGAGATTCAATATGAAGATGCTACTCTCCACCTGCGAACGCCAAGGTCACCGCCAGATGGCAGTTCAGTTCTTTCTTAGAATTTTTACTGACATCTGGTGGTGACCTTGGCGTTCTCAAGTGGAGAAATTAAACCACCATTTTATTCATCAGAAACTTTTTTATAATTAATAAAATGTAAAAAATGTGAAAAATATTATTGTGAGAATAATTAAAAGAAAGTGAATAGTAAAATAAATTAATAAAATTAGTAAAGTGAATAATAAAATAAGGACCTAAAGTAAAAAATTAAAAACGAATAAAATAAATAAAGTAAAGAATAAAATCAACAATATAAAAATTTAAAATCAGTAAAATAAATAATAAATTCAGCAAAGTAGAAAATTAAAAAAGAGTAAAATAAATAAAGTTAAGAATAAAATGAGAAAAGTGAATAGAAAAACAAATTAATAAAGTAAGTAAAGTAAATAGTAAACTAAATAATAAAATTAGCAAAGTAAAAGCTAGAAAAAGAGTAAAAAAAAATAAATTAAAGAATAGAATAAGTTAAGTAAAAAATAAATAAAATAAATATAGACCAAATACAAATAAATACCATAATAATTAACAGAATGAACAAAAAAACAAAAAATACAAACATTTAAACAAAATTTCTTAACAAACCTTCCTGATAATGTCCAGTTAGGAATAAACAATCACATATTATCAAAATAAAGAAATTTTTTCTCCTAAATTTCATAACTTCATAATATCAATCTCTTGAAGAAAAAATCATTTTTTTCTCTCACTTTCCCAGCTTTTTAAAATTTATTGTAATTTTCATGGAAAAATTTTTTTTTCGCACAATTTGTTTTTAACTTTTGTCAAGTCATCATTTTTTTCCCCCTATTAATTCGTGTAATTTTCAATATTATTATTTATCTTATTTTTGTTTTGTTCATACGAGATTTGTACGTCATTTACAGACATGACGTTTAAAAAACTGGCAGCGGTTGTTTTGTATTTTTCCTCTTCTTTTGTTAACAATTATTTTTTGTTGACAGGTGCAATCGCGAAATAGAAGTTAAAGAAGAGAAAACAAACACGAGTGTCGCGCGGTTAAAGTTCTCTCTTATTTTATACATGCACATATTGATTTGTACACATCAGATTCAAAAATTTGATTGACACACACGCACATAGGCACAAAATTGAAGATTTTTATTTTTTATTCTCATTTATTTTTTATTATTATTTATTTTATCACTATTACTTATTTTATTATTAATTTATTATTAATTTTATTATTAGTTATGGTTTTTATTATTAGTTCTGATTCTTATTATTAATTATGGTCTTTATTATTAGTTACGGTTTATTATTATTACTTATGGTTTTTATAATAAAAAAAAAAAAGAAAAAATTGATATTTTTAAAAAAGAAAATTGACCGTGTATTGTATTTATTATAAAGAACTGGGAAAGGTTTATTATTTATTATCCGCTCAGTGGTTCTGACGAGAATGATATGAAATTTTCTTAATAAATTTAATTTCTTTGCCCTTGCTTAACGGGATCAATAACTCAATGGTATATTTTTGTTTACAAATTATTAAGCGCCTTAATTGATTGTGATGATATACTCCCGCAATGGTTAAACTTCCTAAGACACGGAAATCGATATTATCACATAAAAGCTATTCTATGCGCCGATAATTTATGCTCATACTTCCTCTTTAAGTTTGTCTTCAAATATGTTAACAGTACGCATATTTAATTCAATTTTCTGATACATTTTAATAAATTATAAACTACATTTGTAATTATAAAAAAAATGGAATTAATTTTACAAATTATTAATAAGTAAAAGAAAAGAACTTAAAAATTTAGACGAATATTTATTCGTCTAAATTTTTAAGTTCCATAATTATTTAATCATTATTATTTTTCCATTGAAATTAACATTTTCAAAAATTTCAAATTCGAATCTTTTGAAATTTAATAACTTATAAGAATATTATTATAAACATGAAGAAGTCAATCACTCCGAGTCTTCGACTCGGAGTAATCGATTTCATCATGTTTTTATAATAATTAGCCATAACCCAGGAATAAAATTATTATTTTTTATAATAATATTGTTACTCCTAAAATTCATCAAAATTATTTTCATCATTTAAATTCAATTATTATTTTCTATAGAATTTTTAACCAAAATTCTTCTTTTAATCGAATTTTTTTAATTACAAAATTATTTCAAAACACCAAAAAATTTTTTTTTAAATAAATATTTAATCATTATTATTATTCCATAGGAATTAAGATTTTCAAAAAATTTAAAATTCAAACCTTTATGACATTCAACAAATTATAAGAAAATCATTACAAAACATGAAGATATCTATCACTCCGAGTCGAAGACTCGGAGTTATTGATGTCTTCATGTTTTGTAATAATTTAAATTTCCAAAAAATTTTTCAAAAATATATTTAAATTATTTACAAAAATTTTAATAAAATCCTTTCCAAAAAATTCAATTATTTTTACAAGTAATAAAATTTTTCACATGAATTGAATTCTTTTCATAAGTAATAACATTTTTCATAGAATTTTAATTATTTTTAATACAATTTTAAATAAATTCCTCAAAAAATGTAATTATTATCAAAAATTGTTAGCAAGAATTCAATTATTACATTTCAAAAATAATAAAATTCTTCGATGAAATTCAAATATTTTCATAAAATACTATTTTAATAAAATTTCTTAAATGAATTCAATTTTTTAAAAAAAATGTAATAAATGCATTTCAAGAATTCAATTATTTTCATAAATAATACAATTCTTGACAGGATTTCAATTATTTAAAAAAAATTTAATAAAAATTCGTTGCAAGAATTGAACTATTTTCATAAATAATAAAATTCTTCACAGGACTTCAATTATTTAAAAAAAAATGTAATAAAATTTCTTTATAAGAATTCAAGTATTTTCCTAAATAATAAAATTCTTCATAAGATTTTAATTATTTCTAATACAATTAAGTAAATTCTATGAAAAATGTAATTATTTTCAAAAATATTCAAAATTCGATTATTGTTGAAAATTCATGCTATAATGCTTTTAATATTCAATTATTATGTAAAAATTTAATTGAAATTCATTTTTAAATCAATTAAAATTTTTTAAAATAATTGAATTCCTGAGAAGAATTATAATAATTATTTTTTGAAAATAATTTATTTCAGGCAATGAATTTTATTAAATTTTGTTTAAATAATTGTAATTTTGACAAAAAGTTTATTAACATTTTTGACAATAATTTAATTCTTGAGAAGAATTTCGCTACCTATTTATAAACATAATTTAACTATTGACAAGAATTTTTAAAAAATTTTGATAATAATTTAATTTCTGCAAAGTATTTTATTACTTTTCAAAAGAATTGAATTCTTCTGATAAATTTTGATATTTATGAAAATAATTGAAATTTGTAAAAGAATTTTATTAAAATTCCTTAAAATAATTGATTTTATGGGGAGAATTTTGTTGTTTAACAAGATAATTGAATTCTTTTGCAGAATTACTTAAAAATTTTGAAAAATAATTGATTTCCTGAGACGAATTAAAAGTTATTTATGAATATAATTGAATTATTGAAACGAATTTTATTATTTTATTTAATAATTGAATGTTTCGTAAATTTGAATTCTTTCGTCAAGTTTTAATAAAATTTTTAAGAATAATTGCATTTTTCGAGGAATTTATTTAAAATTGTATTAAAAATATTTAAAATTTTGCCGTAAAAATAATTGAATTTCTAAATGAAATTTTATTATTTACGAAAAGAATTGAATGTTTTCGTAGAATTTTATGAAAAATTTTTTTCAATAATTAAATTATTTGATAAATTTTATGAAAATAGTAAACATTGAAAATCATTGGAATTACGAAAATCTTTTGAAAATAATTGAATTCTTATGATGAATATTGTTATTTATAAAAATAATTGAATTTTGCAAAGATTTTTTTTAAATTCCTAAAAATAATTGAATCCTTGTGAAGAGTTTTGTTATATTTATCAAGATAATTGCATTAAATCTTTTGAAATAATTAAATAATATTAAAAAATTCATTCTGGGCAGAATTTTCCCTGAATGCACTGATTTCCCTCACCTATGGCAACCCTGAATACCAATTGGAAATTTAAAAAAAAATTAAAAATACCGAGTAAAAATTAAAAATAATTTTTATTTTTATTTAAAATCTTTTTTTTCAAACATATTTATCAACCATAGATAAAATTTTCTTTGAGTAAATATAGACAAAAATTGTTTTCTACGTGTATGGAAATTTACTATTTAAAATAGAAAAAAAAGGTTTATTTTTAGATAGAGGTTTTTCTTGTCGATTTTTATGAGTTTTACAAATACAGAGCAAAGAATATAGGTACACACACACACATACAAACAAATACAAGAATAATTCAATAAATTATTAATGCTTTCTGGGATTCACTCTTTGATTAATTAGTGCTGGAATTAATAAGTCGTCCTTATATTATTGATTTGCATTTAAAAAGTCGAGCACTTGCGAAGAAGAATTATTGATTGTCTATTAATGAGCTTTTTAAGTATAATACGCTTTTTGCAAGCTCGTCTAAATCTCTAATCATCAATTAAAGTCATTTTTACGTAACGAACTAATCTTACGTAGTTAAAAATAGTTTTTTTTACTATTAATTCTAAATAAAACCAATTCATTATGAATATTTATATAATTTCTGTAAATATATTTTTCTCTTTAAAATTCAAATTTTTTGGGTCAATTTTTAATTTTTAAAAACTGTTATTACTATATTTTTTTGTGTTTAATTTGTTTGATAATATCTCAGTTATTTATATAAATCGCTATATCTTATTACTATCTTTTTTATAGTAATTCATTATTTGGTAATAAAAAGGCCTAAAATGGTAATAAAATAATTAATTAATAATAATTAATTTAAATAATTAAAAATCGGTTTTACCAAAAAATAAATAGTACCTAATTATTTATAATTTTAATAACTTAATAATAATTAGTTACTTAATCAATTATCAATTAATTTCTTAATTAATATATTAATAGGCAAACTATTTTAACTTATTTTTCACTTCCTTAACATTGTATTAAAATATTGCTAATTCATTCCAATATAAATAATTTCCTTTTTTTTTATCCAGGAAGTGTACAAAAATTCTGAATTAATGATTCATATTCAATTTTAGTCCTGGGAATAATTATTAGTTAAAAAAAGACATTCTGTTATTTCCCGATATGACTTTTTTTTTAATGAACAAATGAACATGTGTACAAATCTATTTAGAGAAAAAAAATACGTGACACAATACGAAAACAAATCAATAAAGAAAAATACGAAAATTATAAAATTACAATTCTTGTTATTATGGTAATAACCAGTTTACTATTTTCTGGGCCGAGTGGAACTCGTTTTAATTACGTGAGCTGACAATCTTATTACAATTCAGCTTTTACTGGTGTACTTACTTATTTTTATTTCGTGAATTTCTCGAGTTTCATTAAACTCAATCGATCAACAATTAATTATTTTGTCCTCATAGCAAAATTTCCAATATTGATGAAATTTAGTTGGTAAAAATTCTATTTCACTTTTTTAGACATTTTTTTTTCTTTTTTTTCATCTGTTTATTATTATTAATATTATCAGTATTTTTATTTTTATTATTTTTATTTTATAAAAAAAATTTTTTTTATTATTATTTTCAATAAATTCAAATATATGCACAATGAGTATAATTATATTCATAAAAATTATTTCATTGACGCGTATAAACACTGTGTATGAATGTTTCCTTTTTTTTTTGTTTTGCTTACGGTCAAGGATTTTTTTATTGCAATTATTGTCATCAAGTGTAGTTGAAAATTAATTAATTCTAATTATCCATTATTACATAGATTTCTCTTGAGATTTTCTCTTATTTTATATTGTAAAACTTTTCGAATAAAGGAAACTTTTGAAAAGACACTTGCGGAAGTTCCGACTTTATTGTACTAAATGTTTCTTTTCATACTCGGACAAAGTCAAGTTTGCAAAAATCAGCAATGTCTGCAATTTTTATTTTTGCAATGTAGGTCGAATTCTTATAAAACCTTCCTTATGAAAAATTATCGTGAATTTTAATAAATTCGCAATGAGATTTGTGAAATTATTTTTTCAACTGAATTCAAAAAATTATTTTTGTAAATATTTAAATTATGTACAATAATATTAATATTATTATAACAATAATAATTA